AATTAACTGTCAGAATTGTTAATCATTTACATTCAACCCTTATTATTGTTAGTTTTTATACTTGAAATACTCTAAAACATGAATAATTTGAAACACTAATTTTGATAAGTTGGTTATTTTCATGAGTCATGCCGCTAATTGATCAAGCTGAACAGCTGTGAACTTATCTAAATAAGAAATCCTAATGGCAATATTTCACTTTCTTCTATATTTGAACTTTTTACAACACTAATTGCGTTTAATCAGTTATTTAAATAATATTTGTAATCAATAGTCACAGATAATTAATTAACTTCCCAGTTCTGAAACTAATGCATGCGGGTTATCAAGATGTGGTAAGATTTTATTTCTTAAGTGAGAGAACACTGGCATTACAAATAAACCAAGATTTATTTGATTATTGAGAACTTTCTGGAACATCCTTAGCTGTGATAACATTCAATCATTACAGGATATATACATGTTTTATTTAAGATTAAAATTATTCTGTTATTGTAAGACCCATATAAATATTCATTTACAGTTCTGATCCAATTATTATTAAACAGGTATCATCATGCTAAATTTTATGGTTTGAAGAATAAATGTTACTTATCTATATGATGAAAAGATTTGGACCTGGTTACTTTGATTCTCAAAAACCTTTTGATAAGATGATATTGACAGTGGAATAATTGTTAAGTTACTAATTCTTAAGAGCACATGTAAAGAGTTTATAGCAATATGTCAACCACACTTTATTACCAATGTCCAGTACTGACGAGGCCTTTCACTTTCATCAAATAACACTACCAAAGCTAGGCTCAACAATTAAAAGAATATCTATAAACATAAGTTACACCAAATAGTGTAATACACTATTCATTTATTATTCTTCCATTGTTTAGTTCAATTATAAATTTTTAGTTATATTAAAGTGCTAATGCACCTTCTACTTCTAGCTACAGCATCTTGATTTTGAGTATATATGTATTAAGAAACTGACACAAGTTTTCCTTAGTGGACATGTACATGTATTAAACTTTAAAGTTGTTAAAGATTTATGGTAAGAACTAGTCACAAAAGTTGTAACCTTGTGATCTAACCAACAAATGAAAAGCCTTCCTTCATCTTGAAAATGAAGCTGTTGAAAAGATACTCTTAGAAAGAATTATTGCTCAGTATTATTCTTCATATTTAGAAGTGGTTTACTTATGGAATACTCTTATTCTCTGGTGAATTAGGCTTTTTATTATTCTGATTCTTTCTTTTAATTCCTTTGATATTTGTTGAAATTAATCACATTGATATTTCATATCTTGTTTATTAATGTTTTTACCTAGTCCTTGCCAGACATGGGTTTACTAATTGTTTTGTAACTTGTAGATGATAAACTTTGTATTCTAGTGATTTAAATTTTATATTTCTGTTGTTATATTTTATAAATTTGTTTGTTGTAGTAGTGTTATGTTTAGTGATAACATAATGTTTTGGGACAACATGGAACCTACTAGTCCATCTCAGCTGTTCCATCCTCCAAACAAAATTAAAATAATTTAGAAAAATAATCTTAAAGCCAGCCTTATCAAGCTTTTTCTTAAATTCATTTAAATTTACTGCCTCTACAACATCTAAAGGCAACCTATTCCAAGGCCAACCACCATGTTAGAAAAATAGAACAGTCTTAGCTGAAGATGGCTCCTAACCTGCCAAAATTTATACTTGTGTCCTACTATTCTCACTGTTAAATATGAAAAAAGATTATACATAAACATTATCAGTTCCCTTTACAATCTTAAACACCTCAATCAGATCCCCCTAACTCTTTTTTTGTTAATACAAGAGAAAATTTGAAAGATTTCAGCCTCTCCTCATATGACAACCCCTCCATCCCAGGCACCATTGTAGTAACCCTTCTCTGAACCCTTTCCAACAATTCAGTATCTCTCCTAAGGTAAGGAGCCCAAGACTGAACACAATACTCCAAATGTGGCCTAACCAGTGACCTGTTGAATGAAATTATAACCTTTTTAGACTTGTATTCAATATTTCTATAGATACAACCTAAAATCATATTTGCCTTACTACTAGCAACAGCACACTACTTGGATGGCTTTAGTTAGAGACTGATCAATTATTATACCAAAATCCCTTTCTTTCATGACACTGATAAGGTTATTCCCATCCAAATTATACTTATAATTCAAATTATGATATCCCAAATGCATTATTTTGCATTTATTATAATTTAAACTCATCTGCTATTTATTTGTCCCCTCACTAAATGATTTCAATCCTTTTGTAAATCAGCTGCATTCTCTTCACAGCTAGCAACAACCAAGACCTTAATATTATATGCAAATTTAATTAATTTATTGACCATTCCTTTATCTATGTCATTGATGTAAATCAAATAGAGCAGAGCTTCTAAGACTCAGCCCTAAGATATCCCGCTTGTGACATTAACCCAGCTTAACTGAACTCCATTTATAACAACTCTCTGCTTTCTTCCATCCAACCACTCTTCTACTCAATTTACTAATTTATCCCCTACACCTATAGAGATAATTTTTAAAAAGCCTTTTATGTGGCACTTTGTCAAATGCTTTCTGAAAATCTAGATACACTAAATCTACACCCTTACCCTCATCTACATAAGCAGTAACCTTTTAAACGAAAGTCAAAAGATTGGTAAGGCAAGATTTTCCCTTAGTGAAACCATGTTGACTGTCCAATAAAATTCTAAACTTTGTTAAATGACTTTGCAAAGCATCTTTTAACAGACTTTTCCCACTACTGATGTAAGACTAATGGGTCTATAATGACTGAGACAATTCTTATCACCTCCTTAAAAAGAGGAGTTACATTAGTTAACTTCCAATCCTCTGGTACCTGCCCACTATTCAAGGACTGACGAAACAAATAGTAGCAAGAGGCTCACATATTCAATATTTAACCTCCTCCAAAACCCTTGGGGAAATATTATCTGGCCCCAGGAGCCTTACCATTTTTTAAACTTCCCAATTTTTCCTTCACCAACTCAGAATTAATGCAGTCATCTTGTTTGATCTTGTTTCCATTTATCAACTGTTCAAGATGTGGAATACTGCTTAAATCTTTGTTAGTAAAACCTTAAGAATAAGCACAATTTAATACCTCAGCCATCTCATAATCATCAGATACTAGCCTTCCTTTATCATCCCTTAAGAGTCCTACCTCATCCTGACATTTTGTTTACCCTTAATCTATTTAAAGAAATCCTTACTGTTAATTTTTACATTTTCAGCCAACCTTTTCTCATACATCCTATTTGATGTCCTATATTCCTGTTTCACCAACTTTCTTGATCTTCTATAATCTTTATAAATCTCCTGTCATGCCAGTCAATTTAAATTTATGATGCTTTTCTTTAATTTCATCTCTTATACTCTGTGAGCCAACCTGATTTTTTACTTGCAGTTACTCTTTTTTTTATATAAGGAATATGTTTACCTTGAAAAATTTACAATTTACCTTTAAAAATTTTCCACATCTAATCAGTGTCTCCAAATAACTCAGCTGCCCAATTCACAACAGATAATTCTTGTCACATCCCTACAATTTTTTTATAAATTTATAACCAAAATATTATTCCTTATCTCCATATGCAGCAAAACATTGAACCTAATAGAGCAATGATCACTTGCACCCAGATATTACCCAATTTCCACCCTCTCGATCATTTCTATATTTCAAGTTAACAATAAATCTAAAATAGCATTGTTTCTAGTAGGTTCCTTGACCAATTGGTGAAGAAAGCCATCTTCAACAGTTTCCAAAAACCTTTATCCCTCTAGCATTTCCCAATTTATATGCCCAAAATTAAAATCACCCATCAGCTGAAATCTTAATCTCATTGTAAAGTTTCTCACTAATTTCATCAGTATCATCTGGTGGTCTGTAACAAATTCTCACTAAAAGCCTTTTCCCTTTATATCCACTAATAGAAACCCAAATTTACAGTGTTAAAATATATTAAATAAAATAATCAACTGAAATCACAGTTACATTAATTAATACTAAGAAAATAATCAACTGATGGAAATCAGCATTTCAAATTATTACTGTTTGTGATATTGATTATTCAACTGTTACATTCCCATGTATTTCATGGCATGGATTTGAACATGAGACTAAGAGTAAAGGTTCTAAAATAGCTACCAATACGAAATAACAATTTGAAGACAATACTGAGTTTACTCTAGGAGTAGAAAGACCTGAGTAATTTGTTCAAGTTGTTGAGTTGGGTTTTAACAAGATGCCCTTTTCCAAGGTAAGAAATGTTACAGAAAATTTGTAATGTATTTAAATATTATTCAGGGAGGTTTGTTTCTTTGCAGCAAAGTTATGTATTAAGTTTTCTAAATTTGAATTTCTAGTAAAGAAGGATAGTACCCATTTTTTCTTGTGGTGTTATGAATGAAACTTATTTCTTTACAACTGGAGAAGTTTAGTTTGAACTATTTTGCAAAGAAAAATCTTACAAAGCATGTGTACAAACCAGTAACAGTTTTCTTCCTATCAACATTCACAGCTGATGCTTAATAAATTATATTATTGTTGCGTTTTTGAACTTGAACCACAAAGAAATAAAGTTTGTTTTCATTTTCAATTTCACAAATGGATTTTATATTATTATTACTATTATTATTAGGGTGCTAAGAGAAAGAGTCAAGTGATTGGGGAATTTATTAATGTGTTCATGGTTATGGTGAGTAGGAATTAAAAAAAGAAAAGAAACTTTCCTCAACTGGCGTTGTTCAAGGATATTGTTGTCCTCCTTCGCTCGTTCGGGATAATTTTTGTTTGTTACATTCGTGGGATATTTAAATTTTAGCTAAAAGTAAAGAGGTTAGTCCTAAGTACAGACTTGGGGTTGGACTTGGAGTATAGAGAAATGAGTGAAGCAGAGGCATGTCCAGGATAATAGAGAAAAACTAAGGTTGGTGACATGGCAGAGTAAGAATGTTTTATCTACATACCTTTTGTAGAACGCGGGTGTAAAATCAGAAGATCAGTTAACCAGCTACACGTCGTAACGATGATAAAAAAAGATATTATCCAGCTAGGGCCTTAGTGGTGAACCTATCGAAACGCCATCTATCATATCATACAAGTGACCTTTAAACAACAAAACACACACTGTCTTAACCGATATTTATTATAGTAGTGGACGACCTGGGATGGTGAAAATAGCAGGTATTTCGATTTAAGGTCGCCCGAGGTTTACTAGAAACCTAGGGAGACAATCTGGACGCTCTGAAACTCATGTTTCCCTTCTCCTCGCACGAGGTAACAGAGTAGGGCTGTACTTGCAGGTTCGTAGCATTAGCGAAGTGAAACGATGTGGAGTATTTGGCTGGCAAATAGTTGACTTTAGTTGCAAGAATTGGGCCGGAAGAAAGTTGCTGCTACTAGGTGAAGTAAGAATTTTGTTGTTGTTTTTTTGTGATAATCAAAAGTATAACGGTAACGTAAGTGAACTTATCAACGATTCTGATGTGAAAAACAGAGACAAGAAGATTTAATTCATTTTGTCAGTTGGGTTCTAAAGTAACTGAACTAGCCTGTGTGGAACTTTGATGAGAAAAGATAATTATTTAAACTTTCGATACAACTGTGATGACCAATAGTCTAACAAATCTTTATACATATGTTTGTCTTGTTTTGAATATATTATTTTAAAAAGAGTGGATTTTGTGCTGTCCATTTATTGTTGACGTTTATCAAGTCACAGACACCTACTGTAAAATAATCCCAACACATATACAAAACCCTGACATTTGGCAAGCCTGCTATAGTATTATATAGTGGTAAACGGCGGGAGAAGAAGACGTGAACGACAGTGGTCGTATGCCTATGTACATACAGCTGTAGTGGTAACAAAACTAGTGTAGAGATTACAATCACGCTATATAATCATGTCAACGTATTTTGATGAGTGGATTGAAAGGGGTGAGCATCTTGGGTTGACGGACAGTGAACTACGAGAGATTGTTAAACAAAAACTAGAGCGAGAAGAGCGTAGATAGACAAGAGAGGAAGAAAAACTAAAAGATGAAAAGGAAAAACAAAGACTGAAAGAAGAAAAAATTGAGAAAGGAGAGACTGAAAGTAGAGGGAGAGAGAATAAGAGCACAAATTGAGATTACGAAGCTCACCCAACAGAAAGACAAAAAATTCAAGGATGACAGTGGGGTCAGGTCCAGCCAAACCAAGCTGCCAAAATTTTATTAACAGAAAGACGACATGGATGCTTTTTTTGGAGAGATGTGAAAGATTCAGAACTGGCACAAAGGTGATTGGGCAGTCTGTCTCAGCCCCTTTCTCACAGGAAAAGGGCTACAAGTATATACAGGCATGACATCAGAAGATGCCATGGACTATGAAAAATTAAAATTTGCCTTGCTGAAATGCTATGAACTTACTGAATAAGGTTTATCGGAAGTTCAGAGAAATCAAACCTGACACTGAAGAAACTGTATTTCAGTTTGTGGCATGTCCACAGAGGTACTTTACAAGACGAACTGACATGGCCAAGTGTGAAAATAGTTTTGACGGACTGGCAGATCTCCTAATACGTGAGCAGTTCATGATCACTTGCTCAACTGACTTGCCACTGTTCCTAGAAGAGAGAGCCCCAAAAAATATAGGCAAGATCATAGAGCTGATAGAAGAGTATATGAAAGCCCATGGAGGTAGTATAACTGGTAAGTCTAATAATATCCAGTTAAAGTTGAAGCCAGGGGTGGCTGACCAGAAACAGGATACCACCAAAGGTGACAAGAAGTTAACAGATAAATTGGAGAAGATGTGTTATATTTGTTATAAAATAGGGCACACTGCAACGGAGTGCAAGTTCATCACCAACAAACAACAGCAGAAATATTAACATCAAGCAGCTGGAGCTACTTACAAAGATGGTGCTGGTAAGAAACCCAAGAGAGTGACTGTCACCATGGATGTTGCTGCCAGAAGAAACAGAATAGAAACGACTCATTAGATTCAGCACAAAAAGAAGTGCTATTTCCATGATTAATCAGTATCAGTTTATGACTGATGGTCAGCTCAAGTTAACAAATGGATTAGTGGTGCCAGTAATGATAGGAGCACGTGACAAATATCGAGAGGCGCCAACAAATCACAACATGCCAGAAAATGAAGGCTATGTCAGAGACAAGAAAGTGAAAGTTCTATGAGACAATGAGTGCAACAGTGAAAACCAGTGTAGTATCTGATGATAAGATGATAGGCAATGTACATCTGTGTAAGCTAAACGATGGAAGAGTGAGAAGGTTTCCCATAGCAAGAAACAGGTGAACACTCCATACTATATGGGAGACCTTGATGCCATGTGTATGAAGGCACCCACTTAATGATTGGAAATATACCAGGCAGTAGAAGTTTAAAGGAACCAGACAGAAAGGGGATAGATGAAGCATCTGCAGTCACTACAAGAGCCCAAGAAAATAAAAGCAACCAAGACATCAAGTCCCTGCAAGTATCAAAAGGCGACATCTCAAATGCAGATCTCCAGGAACTTAAGGAAGCACAGAAGAAAGACCTTTCACTGCAGAAACTTTAGGATAGTTCCAGGGAGAATGTCGAGTGCAAAACAAAGTGTAAAGGTAGTTGCACAATAGAGAACTGGGAGGGAGTGTTCTGCAGGATGGGCTTTCTGAAAGAAGTCCTGAGTGACAAAGGTACCCAGTTTACTTCAGAATTGATGCAAGAGGTGTGCAGACTTATTAATACTAGGCAGCTCTTTACCATCCTGTACAATCTTAGATGTAATGAACTTTGTGAGAGAGACAGTAGAGTCTTAAAGAGCATACTGAAGAAGATCTGCCAAGAGAGACCAAATGACTTGGATAGGTACTTGCAGCCACGTGACTGGGATAGGTACTTGCAGGCAGTATTATTTGATTATTGAGAAGTAAATGATTTTCACCCTTCGAGTTACTGTAAGGAAGAAGATTTAAGGTCTGATTCAAACATTGAAAGAGCTATGGATAGTAGAAGAAGAGTCAGAAGTGGGGAACAAATACCTGTACATCTTAGACCTTAGGAACCAACTGGAGAGACCTGTCAAATCCATCAAGATAGCTTGTATGCAACTCAAGGTAATCAGAAGCACTTCTATGTTCACGGTCGGACAAAAGGTCTTAGTTCTGCTGTACACAGACAACAATAAACAGTGGAAAGGACCTTTTGAAGTGCAGGAAGTGGTCAACAGAATTGACTTTAAAGTAAATGTAGACAGAAAGGCCAATATTTAGCATGCCAATCTGTTAAAAATGTACCTAAATAGGGAAGAAGACCTAACAGATGCATTTATTGAGAAAACGTTAGATGATGCAGGTTTGGCTTCAATAGATGCAAAACCAAAAGATTGTAACTTTTCACAGAAGATGGATATCTACTAGACCTTAGACCACTGGGTGGAAATGAGATGTACAAGGAAGTTAACATACTTGAAGCATTCACTGTAAAGTAGAAGAATGAGATGTACAAGAAAGTTAACACAAGTGAAGCATTCACTATCAAGGAGAAAAAAATAGGTACAAGATCTATAGTGCCAATATACAGATATACCATGCAAAACAGACTTATGCAACACAGTACCAAAACTAAGACAAGGGATTCAGTTAAGGTGAAGCTCTACCAGATGCATTATTTGATGAAAGACCAACAAGGGAACTGCAGATGTTGGTGCAGACAATGTGAGGAGACTTAGTGTATGAACTAAGAACACACATATATATATATATATATAGTATATGTATATAGTAAAATATATATTTCTTGAAAAGGGGCATATTTCTGAATATACAAGTCTGTTAATTTTAAGATTTATTATTTGATTTCTTTAGTGATTTATTCTTTAACGACTATCCAGTTTTCATAACAAGAGTGTTAAAAGTTAATTATTTTTAGAGACGATAGTAGTGACAAGTTTTATTAAGCAACTCCGTACGAGTTATATGATATGATGTGTATGTAGTTTAATTGTTTTAGGCTTTTGTAGTGTTGTTAACATCATCGTTTGCGAAGTTTCTAAGCTTTCTCGTATATTTAATATTGTTACTACTAGAGGGCTATATTTTTCTGTTGCTTGATATAAATATATGTAGATACAGAGAGTTAAATCAGAAAACGTTAAGTTGGGAAAGAGAAGTTACACTATGTGGTTGTTAGCTTAGTCTTAACGAGAAATTTATAAAGTGAGTTTCACA